ACAAGCACTTATTAACATACATATGTATGTACATCCATATGTAAGTATGCAGGTGAATTTGTGCATACTATGGCTGCGACTATCCGCATATTCGTTTATCCGTTCGGATATTCGTGTATAAAGAAAAAATCCAGATATCAAGTTAATATGCGTTCTCTTTTATTATCCGGGATATGCGGTTAATATACAGATATCTGGTTAGTATCAGCTCTCTTTTGTTATCCGTATAACCGGGTAATATCCGCTCATTTTGTTAATTGGATATCCGGGGTTTTTTTTTCATCAGATATTCGAATATCTGGACAATACGGATATTCAAAAAATCTGTATAGAGCCCCTAGCGCTAGTGCATACCAGGGATGTTGCGATTATTTGCATTCGCATTCGTCATGCGAATGATTCGCATCATTTTACATATTCGCATCAAATGCGAATATGTACATGGCCAGAGCGCGCAGTTAAGGATCCCAAAGCTCACAATCGCATCGTAACGCACATACATATATGTTATGATTGTTTCAATTTAACGTTTAGTATTTTACAGGCAAAACAACCCTTGTACCCTGCTGCATGTCGTAGAAAATAGAAATACATATGTAGATCTAATTGGGCGCCCTCAAATATGTTCACATTTTTTGTTAATGTCTGCACTTTATCCTCTTTTTGTGATGACCTGTAAAATATTTCAGTGATATTTATTGTTTTAACTTAGTTGTATTAATAGTTACACGTTTTAGTTAATTTTTGTACTTTATTCGTCGAAAGTGAGCAATTTTTTGTGCTGCCGGCCTTATATACGACCCCATAAGAAATCGCCTCATGGGAGAAAAGGCAGCAAAATTATTTTTCTGAAATGTAATAGGTCGCTTTTGAACTTTGTCTACTAGATTAAAACACTGTATAGATTAAACATTGGTTCAATGTTCTAATAATTTATAAAACGATGACTTAAGTTGATTATAGCTTTTAATGATATTACAACCATTCCCATTCGCATGTGAAAAATATGACATTCGAAACATCCCTAGTGCATACGCATGCACTTGAATGAATAAAGAGAGAACTGCGGGAAACCAGCTGGCTTTATTAATGTGGCATTGAATTCGTGGCTACTCCAATACTAGTAGTAATGCGAACATACATATTTACATTTGCATTTGCAATGCATACAGATTTGCAGCCAGAGCAAGAATCTCCTAATTTGATGGAGCTTTTCTTATACACTTTGTGCGAATGCTCATACTTTCGAAGCTGGCTCATAACAAGTTTCTGTATATAAAAGTTGTTTATTTACGAAACTAAACTCAGTCTAATTCAGCAAAAACCAAATTCTCAGCGCAAGTAGCGGGAAAACATACAAGTTGTACACCAGCGCCAGTTGGCTGGACAAACACTGGCGGTTCTCTGGAGATTCCAAAAACAACATGTCGCAATCCTTCGTGCAACTAACCACCGAGCAACTGCAGTCACTGCTCGATTCGGTGCGTTTAGCAGCCGTTGCCGCGGCCAATTGTGCCGCCCCAGCAACAGTGAAAATGAAGGGCACCTTCGTGTATTGCAATAGTCGCCTCGGTGATCAACATGATTACGATTATGTTCAGGAGTTTATTTCAGCGGTACTCGCCTACAAAGATATGGAATCGATCAGCGACGAGGACGCGCTGAAAAGTATTGCAATTCTTTTCTACAGTGAGGCAGCGATATGGTGGCAAGGTGTGCGTAAAGAGGTACAAACTTGGAATGAGGCCATCGCATTGATTCGTGAACACTATGCGCCTGCAAAGGACGCTTACCAAATTTATATGGAGATTTTCGAAGAAAAACAGGATGATGTAACTAAGATGAGTACCTTTGTGAGTCGAAAGCGTGCACTACTCGCACAATTGCCAGAGCATCGCCACGACGAGGAGACGCAGTTGGACATGATCTATCCTTTGTTGAATATCAAATATCGCCGCGGGTTATTACGACAGGATATTCGTACATTTCGCGAATTGCTCGAACGTGGACGTATTATTGAACACAACTTTAGTCAATCCGAAAAAGAGCAGAATATTAAAAAACACACAAAAGACTGAAATAAACAAAATTTTCCTTATGGGAATACGATTCGGCAACCAAATTAGAATAAATGAATTTTTTTCAAAGAACTTGGACTTTGCTTTTGTTAAATCGAAATATTTCTGTTGAAAATAATTATAATGTGTAGTAGATTATATCCACATATTGTATTAGAATAACTATTTATAACAGTCGGGCAAACCTGGTCAGTCAACAATATTTGTAAAAGAATGACGGTCAGGTAACACTGGCCATGCAATAAAATCATAATCCATCTGAGCATCAAAGCGGACAGACGTGTACATATAAAACGCCTACAACGTCAGGTGTGGACAAGAATTTCCAGTTAACAGTAAAATAAACTTAAGCTAATGGCAGACAAGCAAAAAATTGCAAATGCCTTACGCGATTTGGGAATCGCTTTTCCAGAGACAGCTACGTTAAGACAATTAAAAACTCTTTTGTCATCAGCCATTGGAGCACCGCCGGAGGAAAGTGGATGCTCTGTCGAGGAATCGGCAGCCAGCAGCCAAAGTCCGGAAGCCCCAATAATTGACAACGGAACTTCAGCAGGGACAACGGTGATTAGCGGAACTTTGGAAAACAGTAACGACGCTTCAGCAATAGGCAACGCCGCTTCAGCACCAGGGGACGA